AATGAGTCTCCCAAATCTTTTGTTTAACATACCCAGAAAACAGTAAGCACTATTCGCCAAGCATCGTGCCTGTGCAAGAGAGGAATTCCCAATGGTGACAGCAAATATATTGCTGGTAAACGTTTTTCATCCAGCTCAAGAATTGGTGGACAGCACCTTAGTTGGGCCATGGAAGAAATGCCTTGAAAGGAGCGGCACACCATAACATAAGCAGCACCAGCCTTGGCCCAAATGGATTTTATCATGAGCTCAACTGCACCACCAACCAACATTATCAAATCCTCAAGGAGGATGGAGACGCTTAGAGGATTGGACCGATTGTAACTTTTGGTTGGTTTTATTTAAAATTTGATCATGCTGAAGAAAAGCAGGCAAGCAAATTAAGGTCGCCTGCCTGGTTCTTGTTGGAAAAGTGCGTGCTTGGTGCGTGTGCCGTGTTTTAACAGACAGAAGGGCTACCCTGACACAAGCTTGAGCACACATAAAGCACGCAGATACAGGACAAATCTGTAAAAAGTGCGGAGTCCTTTAAACTTCCCCCCTTTTGTCACCTTCTGGGCAAATCATTCCTAAGTAACCAAAATTAGAAAGGACAACCTGTGCCCTTTTCTTTCTTCCAGCTTTCTTCACCAGATGTCTCCTTCACAAAGACTCGCTGATCTGAAGGGCTAGCCTCTGGGCAGCAGGCACGAGTTGTGTGTGTGCAAGTGGACACATGCATGTGAGTGTGTGTGTGTGCACATGAACACCCCCCCACACACACACATTGACATTTAGACAACTATTTTGGCTCCTTTTGTGGCACAGCATCCCAGGGCTTCTGTTTGCCAGCGGTGCAATAGCGGAAAAGAAACCCGAAAAAAGCAGATGGGCGAGAAAGCACCTTCTCGTATTAAAAACCTCTTTTCTGGGATCAAAACTTTCCACAGAGGAGCCACTAGGCAACAAACAATCTCCTTTCCTCCCCTCCCCATCGTCTTCATCATCCCATCATCGTCACCATTGTCCTCTCACTCAAGTATCCCTCCCTTTCGATCTCTTTCTCTCTCCTTCCCCCTCTCTTTCGATCTCCCTCTCTCTTTCTCTCTCCCCTCCCTCCCTCTCCCTCCCCCTCTCTTTCTCTCTCCCTCTCTCTTTCTCTCTCCCCTCCTTCTCTCTCCCTCTCTTTCTCTCTCCCTCTCTCTTTTTCTCTCCCCTCCTTCTCTCTTCCTCTCTCTTTCTCTCCCTCCCCCGCTCTTTCTCTCTCCCTCCCTCTCTCTCTTTCTTTCTCTCCCTCCCTCCCTCCCTCTCTCTCTTTCTCTTTCTCTCTCTTTCTGTCGCTCCTCAGCTACCAAATGGTCCCCAGCCATCCTGCTGCTGGTTGCTCCTCTCTCTCTTCGCAGCCTCCATGTCTGGCAGTTTCCCAGGCGAAACGGCTCTTGTTAGGCACCGAGGAGGACCCGGCGCTCTTGAGAAAGGGACGGGCAGGGAAGGGACGAAGGTCTGCCAGAATCAGACCGAGCCTGGGACTGCAGAAACAAGGGCAGGCACGGCAGGGCTTGTCCAGGGCTGGGCAGTACGGCGTCCTCCGTCCGTTTCCAAACGCCCGCACTAAAGTGGCCCTTCGTCGGCCACTCGCCACCAACCGGGGAGCCCTAACCCCCACCCACCCCTTCTCTCCGGTTCCTGCGGGAGCAACGCTTCCCTCCGGACGCCCAGCGCAGGGCAGCCACCGGGGAAAGCCTGAGACCACCCCGAGGCGAAGAGCACCGCCACTTACCGGTCTCCTCGGCCTGGGACGGGCGCTCCTCGGGGCCGCCCAGAGCCCCCCTGCCTGGCTAGCCCCAGCTTCCAGGGCCAGGGAGCGCGAGCCTGGCAGGGCACCGCTCGGCATCAGCCCCTTTAGCCCCGCGTGGCTCCGGAAGCGCGGCCGGGGAGCCCGCGCGGGAAGGGCTGGGGACGACGCGCGGTCCTCGGAACGAAAGCGCCAAGTGGGGAGGAGGAGGAGGAGGGGGGGGAGGCAAGGAGAGACCGAGCGGGGGGAGTGACAGCTGGGGGGGGTGTACATCTGTGATGACAGCAATGCACACGCAGCACACACGCGCTCACACACACACACACACACACACACACACACACTCCCGGCGCGAAGGGACTGACTCAGAGGTGCGGGCAGCCTCCACTTTCCCGTCTTCCCCATTCTCAAAGTCCAGGCCGGGGTCCAGGACTCCGAATGGCCCCCGTTCTCTCCTCCCCTCTCTTCATCAGGTGCTTTCCTGGATTTTCTTTCCTTGCTTCCTTCCTTCCTCTCTCCTCCCTCCCTCCCTCCTAACCTCCCTCTTTCCTTCCTTCCTTCTGCCCTTCCTTCCTCCCCCACTCACCTCCCTCCCTCCTTCCTTTCTTCCTCCCTTTCTTCTGTCATTCCTTCCTCCCCCTCCCTCCCTAACCTCCCTCCCTCCTTCCTTCTGTCCTTCTGTACTCCCTCCCTCCCTCCTAACCTCCCTCCTTCCTTTCT